GCACTGTCTGTGTCTGCTGTGGGGGAGATGTATGGTGGGCAGTGCCCGTGTCTAACTGGAGCGGGGAGATGTATGGTGGGCACTGCCCATGTCTGACTGTGGCTGGAGATGAGCCTCGTGGTGGTCTACCTTTTACTTGTCTTCCACCCTTGTGTTTCTGACAGGAAACTAGTTGCTTTGATTATGCTGTATTTTAAAACCCTGTCCTGTGGACCCTCAGTGTTTGTTACCTCCCCACCAGTGACAACTTGACATAGTAGCAATCTTTGAGTGACACTGGCCTGTCCCTTTTTAGCCTTCTGGGGATCACTCTGCTTTTGTGGAATCCTCTCCGCACCTGCAGAGAGTGAGAAATGGATCCAGAGCCATGCAGTTCGCCCACTGAAGCACCTTTTAAGACAGCTTAACACTTTCTGTCTTAGCAACCATGCTACTTTTTGTTGAATTTGTGCCAAAGTACCAGTAGTTCATGTCAAAAAATGTGGGTAAGCTTTTTTTGGTTGTGGGTATGTGTGTGTATATTCATGTGTGGGTACGTGTGAGTGTGGTGTATGTGCATCTGTGAGTATGTGTATATGCACGTTACATGTTAGTATATATTGTTTGTGCATGTATTTGTGTGTGCAACTATTTGTGTGACATGTGTGTGGTCTGTGTGTGTGTGTGTGCGCGTGTGGTCTATGTAAGTATGTGGTGTGTGTGTGGTATCTGTGTGTGGCGCCTGTATGCATGCATGTGTATGTGTTATGTATGTGAGTGTGCTTTTGTGTACATGAATGTGTGAGTATGTGTGTGGTGTAAGTGTGCTTGTGGTGTGTGTGTTTGTGTGTGTGAGTGTGTGTGTGTGTGTGTGTGTGTGTGTGTGTGTGCGCTGGAAAGGCAGAGTGGAGACAGGAGTACCTCTCTGGTTAAGATATCTTCTGAATCATGAGCCACAGAAAATCCTGATATCCTAACATGGCGCCTGTACGGTACTTGTAGTCGACCAGAAATTCCCTACAGCGCTACATTCGGTTATTTTCAACAGCACATTCTGGTTTTTCAATCTTGTTTTGTTTCATTTCTTTGAGAAAAAAAAAAAAGGCTGGCCATACCCCAATTGCTGATTTCCCAACTCCCTAACTGCATTCTGCAGTGAAAGCGTCATTGTTTTCATCAGTTGGGTTGACTAAGGGGAAGTCACATGGCAGTAGAAGTTGAACATCCTGGCTGGTAGAGGCCTCATAGCACCAGAGGGAGCAGGATGTGTGTCCCCAGACCAAGGACAAAGAAGAGGGCTCAGTGGTGTCGTTTGGATCTGAACTGGTGTCTGAAGAAGTAGAAGTGGAAGCAAGAGTCCAGGAGGGAGACTTGGCTGCGGCCGCAAGGAAACAGCTGATAAGGCCTGGGGCAGCATGGGCTCCAGCTTCTTAGGAAGAGGAGCAAAGGAGAGAGAAGAGGGTGGGGCGAAGTTGGGAGAGGGCACACAGTGGCAAGAGGGCTTTGGCGCTAATCTGAGTCCACCCAGTGTTCCTGCAGTCTACTGACCACATCCATCCCCACCCAGGATTGCCTGGGGACCCAAGAGGGTCACTGACATCAATGACTTGGGCCAGGTGGGGCTAAGGATGAGTGGGGCCTGACCATTTTGTAATCTCTCTCTTAGCTACTTTGCTGGCCCTGGTAAGAGGTTGCTGTGGTGGATCCAGCCACACGCTTGCTTGCTCGCTTGCCTTTTTATTTATGCTCTGGTTGCTTGTATAGCAAATGTATTTTCTAAGGCATTTAACCGCAGTGGGATTAGGAACTCTCAGAAACAGGAAAGAATGCAGCTTTGTTCAGAAAACAAATGGGTAAAATCTGGAATTCTGTCTTTGCCCCCACTCATTGCTTATTAAACCTTGGAAGTGCCTGGCCTGTCACCTGAGGGCAATGCCATGTTGTTCTATACAGAATCCCTCGCTAAGTGTGATGTCAAATAGTTCTTGACTTCTTATCCTATTTCAAATGCTGGAGACAAACTAGACAAAAGGAAGGAGCCTTGCAAGTGCCCTCTGCAGTGATCGTTGATAGAGACGTAGAGTGGACAAGGGTGGCTTCCCTCCCTGGGGAGTAGTGAGCCCTTTTGCAAAAGCCACCGTAGTTGATACTGGGAGAGGACACTGATCTTGGCTCTGATTGGATCCCAAGTGAATCTTCAAACAGAGGATTCTGTAATGCTGTCCCCAGTTAGAATTCCTGGGAGGCTATTTTAATTCCAAAGTTTGATGGAACTTGTACTTACAGACTAGAGACACAAAAATCCCGAGAAGAGACCCTTCACTAATGCCATTACGACAAAACCCACCAAGTCTGAGGGAAAAGCATCTTTTGGTACTGTTTATATTTGGGTTTGGAGAGAAGTTTTGGTTTCTACCTTGCAGCATGGATAGCAATGACTAGGTTAGTCCTACATGGCTGGGGCTCAGGTACTAACTCTTAAGCAGACAAATGGGACATGACATGTCATATAAGGTTAACAACGCACAGTTGAGGAGAAAAGCCGAGCTTGAATACATGCTGCCATTTTCCCAGCCAACCCTGGCTTCTTCTTGTTGGGATCAGGAATCTGCTTCTGAGCTTGGAGTTAGAGGGGCCATGTCTGAGCTACCAGGGGTCAACTTCGCTGGGAGTGGCCAGCCTCCTGAATGGGAGTTTGGGTTCAGCTAGGGCTGTGGGTGTAAAACCCCATTGTTTCACAGTGCCTTGAGGGGCTCCTCTCTCCCCAGGGGTTCTCACAGAGGTCTGACATTAGGTGGCACTGGAAAGATGTCCTGGGGCTCATAGTTTACGGTCATTCCTGTTTTGCAGAGGGAGAAGTAGTGGAGAAGGGTTTTGTCTAGAAGGCTGGGTTCAGTGGCGGAGGGAGGGGAGTAGAAGAGGGGAGTTAGTGTGATAATGAACAAAAAATTGAGCATTATATATGTGGATGAAATTTTCAAATTTAAGACACTAAATTTAAAAAATAAAAGGCCTAGAATAACACCCAGCAAAACCAAGAAAAGAAAAAGAAAGGGAAGGAAAGGGCTTCACAGCCTCCAGCTCAGCTCCAGCGGATCTGATGCCCTCTGTTGGCCTCAGGTTACAGTGCATGCATGTGTATTACATATTACACACATACACACACGTACACACACACATGCTCAAACATGCACACACATGTACCCACATAACACACAGAAATAAATGAGGAAATGTAATCAGACCCCAGCAGAAAATGGTCGCAGTACGAAGAGTCAGAGCAGAAAGCACGCCACTGCCTCAGCTCCCAGCAGGACAGGCTGGGGCTCGGCTGCGCAGATCTGTGTGTGGAAGGGAACCGGCATAAAGGATCTGAGTAGACAAAGGCTAAGATCGTCCCTGCTGTGAGAACCTGAGCAGGAGCACTGTGGGAAAACAGGCGGAGTCAAGGTGACGAGCATAAGATCATAATTATCACAGTGTCAGATCCAGAAGATTCAAAAACCTTCCCGAGTCTAAAAACGCCACAGGTGTATATTTTCAGAGAACGATTTCCATCTCTTTGGTGGGTGCATTCCCCTCTGAGACAGTGAGAGGCTGAGACATTTTCCTCTTTTATTTATTTTTCTAGATAACCACATTAGATTCAAACGTTTTTCCTCCATGTTTAACTCTCAGTGCTTTCTAAAAATAAAGTCCACCAATTGGTCGGTTATTATTTAGGAAACCTACTGGATTCAGTTATCCAATGACTTATTTAAAAATTCTACAGATATCTATATTTATAAATGAAATAAGACTTGATGTGTCATTTGTTATGTCAGTATCTTAGTTGGTGTTCTTATTGCTGTGAAGAGAAACTATGATCATGGCAAATTTAATAAGAAAAACATCTAATTGGGGCTGGCCTACAGCTCAGAGGTTCAGTCCATTATCGTCATGTCAGGAAACACGGCAGCACACAGGCAGACACGATGCTGGCGAAGTAGCTGAGATTTCTACATCTGGACCCAAAGGTAGCATGAAGAGAGTGTGTCATTTGGCCTGGCTTGAGCATCTGAAGCCTCAAAGCCTGCGCACCCCCAGTGGTACACTTCCTTCAACAAGGCCACACCTTCTAATAACGCCAGTCCCTATGTGCCCATGGAGGCCATTTTGATTCAAACCACCGCAGTCAGTTTGCTGATTTTATTCACTGGAATTGGAATAAAGTCTTTTAGAGGAGCATATAAATAACAGTGCCATCAAGATCTGGAGCCAACCTGTGATCTGTTTGAGCCCTGGGGGTTTTGTTGGTCTGCTTGTAACTTCATTGTAAGTTCGGAGTGGAGGCAGGGTTGGCAATGGGAGATGGAGTTGGAGGAATTCTTAAAAAATTTAAAACAGCCTTACAGATAATTTCCAAACTTATTCCAGTTCTGGGTAAGGAATGAGCCCAGTTCATGGGTTGGTTCTGCATAGAGTGGTAGGCTGAAGAGGAACCCGCACAAGGTGCTAACGGCATGCCGCTTTGCCCCGCAGGTCAGGAAGCGTGCTGCACCACTGGAATGAAATCTACTACTTTGTGGAGCAGCTGGCTCACAGATTCATCAGGTGAGTGTCGCTCCACAGTCCCTCTCTCATGGCTAGTTGCGAATCCAGCCCATCTACTGTTCCCATAACTCCTGGACACCGTGGGAGTGCACACTGAGCGGACTTGTGGGTAAGGTGTCACAACATGCTAAGTGACCAGCCCATGCCAATTTGCTCACAACCCTTCTGGTTTCAATATGAATACACCACAGCCCTGAGCGAGTCATGTCTGGTCACATGACCTTTGCATCCTCTCTCTGTGGGCTTGACCTCGTCTTCCCAGGCAGGCTTGAGCATGGTCACTATGAACTTTGAAGGTGCACTCACTAAAGGAGGTGGCATCACCATCTGTGGAATTATACAGCTTTCTGGATGCACCTGCACCACGTTGTCAAAATGCAGCTGGTGTGAGCATTGTGAGGGCTGATGCGGGTCCCCTGGTGGTAGATGGTCTCCATGGAGACCAATGTGAGTGAGCACAAAACTCTTCAGTCCATTTCTATAGCTCAGGGTCTTCCGAGTCCAGGGCAATAGCACACATCCTCCTTCCATACTTAGTTGTCAAGCATCATGCTCTTACCTCCCTAAGAGGAAAGGAAGGGTAGCCTTGAATCTGCAGCAGGAATCACCTAAACCCAGGTGACTTAGAAAGTAGGTGCTTTCTAAGAACAAGGAGAAGAGGTACAGGCAAGGTGAGAGACGGTGTAGGTGTGATGCTAAAAACCATTTAGACAAATCATTGAACTTCGATTTGATAGGAGACAATTCCCAGTCTAGCTTGGGAGCCATTGGAGAGCCTTGTGTTGAAAAGCTTTGGTGAGAAACTTCTGCTTTTTGGATCATTTCAGTTTAAAGTCTTTTTGGCAATGGAGCCAAACATCCTCTCCTGCACTCTCACCCAGTGACCCTTTCAAGTGACACAAACCACATCTGCATCCAAGTCCGTGACAGCATCTGCTCTGTCTCCACTTGCTGTCCTCATTTCTCCCTCTGAGCAGAAGAGCCCAGTGGAAGAGGATCCAGTTGGGCGAGATGAGTTTTGAATCCAAGCTCCCTGTGTAGCCCTAGCAATTGGCTTAACCTTGGATGAACAGAGGCTCCATAAAAGGAACAGACAAAGATGAAGTGTGTGCACACCCCATCGCCCAGCATCTGCATGGAAGTGACCTCCAGCGCTGTCTGTCAGGCCCATCAGCGGTCCATACTCTTCACTGTATTAGAATCAAAGATACAGTGGGGCTACTGAGTCAATACTTACCCCTACTCTCCTGCTGTACAGATGAAGAAAGAAAGAACCAGAGACATCGCCAAGGCTTACTAGTAGACCTTGAGGTGCTTTCCTATGGCCTCCCCCCTCTGAATTCCTTGGCTGAGGACTCTTTGTCAATCATACTTTCTGTCTCTGTGACAAATGCCTTGGAGAACAGCCTAGAAGGAGGGAAGTTTATATGGGCTCATGGTCGCAGAGGTTTTGTGCCATGCTACCTCCACTGTTCTCAGACTGTGCTGAAGTAGAGTTTCCTGGCCTAAATGTGCGGTGTAGCGATGCTTCTTGCCTCCTGGTGGGTAAGAAACAGAGGCAGCATCAGGCAGGGACTGGAGACCTGGTAGAATGCCAAGAAAACACCCCCAAGTAGCCCATTTCCTCCACCTAGGTTCCATATTCCACAGTTTCTCTGCCTCTCAGCAGACTGTTCAAATGTTGAACCTATCAGTGGTCTGAGCCATCAATGAAGGCGGCGTCTCTTGATCCAGTCTGATGGCTTCTCTGAGGCCCCACCTTGGAACACTGCTTACATCGACTTCAAAACATAAGATTTCAAGGAGATGCTCCATTTCTAGACCATAGCAGACCCCTTGTGTGCAGGGGCCAAGACTGTCACCGAGTTTTGTTTCTGCCACAGTCCAAGGGCTGTAAACAGTGCCAGGGACACTCTTGAATAAGAGGAGGGGAAAGGTAGTGTCTTCAAATGGTGCCGGGGAAACTGGATATCTGCATGTAGAAGAATGAAACTAGATCCATATCTCTCACCCTGGACAAAAATAGATTCCAGATGATCAAGGACCTCAACTGAAGACTTGAAACTCCGAAACTGCTACAAGACATATGCACAGGTAAAGCCTTTCTGCACAAGACTCTGGCTACTCAGGAAGATAAGGCAAATGATTAACAAATGCGGCCTTGTGAAATTTAACACTTTTGAATAGCGAAGGAAGCTATCAATCAAGTGAAGCAGCAATCGATAGAATCAAATAAAGCCTTTGCCAGCTACAGACCTATCGGAGGAGCAACATCCAAAGCATACAAACAACTCAAAAATTAATCATCAAGAAAAGAAAAACTAAGAAAAATGGGCTATGAAATTGAACAGAGAGTTCTCAAAAAAAACTATCTGAGGAATACAAATCAAAACTACTTTGAGACTCTACCTCACCCTAGTCAGAGTGGCTGTTACCAAGAAAACAAGTTCTAGTGAGGATGTGTGGACGGGAGAAGCCTTATCTGCTGTTGCTGGAGTGTGAACTGATGCAGCTATTATGAAATCAGTGTGGGGGTTTCTCAAAACCTGAATGAGGATTTTATTTATTCCTTAGATAGCACACTGTGGGGTAGAGGTAGCCAATACAAAAATGGGTTGATACTAGCATAATATGTCACTGCGGACTGCAGAGGGTCTTTCTGAGTTGACATCCTTTGATTTCCCTCTGTTCTGATCCCCCCCCCACCGTCCTAAAAATAATTCTTACTCTCCACCCTTTCCTTGAACTCCAGACCTATGCTTCATTCCCTTCACTGTCAGGAAGTAGCCCCATTTCCTGGCCACTGAGAGACTAGAGGGAAGCAGACAGATGTTCCCTCAGCACCCAGTCCTGCCCCAAAGAGTTGCATGCCTGTCCTTCCTGCCCCCATGAGGGCCAACTGTCCACCTTCAGGGCCATTCTCCCACTTTGCCCATTCCATGCCATTGACTCTAGACTCCTGGATGCCTTTGTTCCTCTTCTAACTTCTACTTTCTTGTGGACTCCCTCCTGTCTGTCTAATCTCCATTGCGTCTCCACTCTGCTAAAGCAGTCACAGCAAAAACCCCTATCAAAGACACGTCAGACACATGGAGATAATGGAAGGTCATTCTAAGAGTACCCAAAGCTTTTGTAGCAGTTAAAAGACAAGATCTGATTTATGTTTTATGATAAATAACTTGGGGAGCAGCCTGGAGAATGCAGCAGAATCAGGAGTGACGCTAGGAGGCAGCCGTTTTTGGGCAGGCCACTGAGCCTCGGGCCTGAAGCTAAGCAATGAAAAGAGGTCTGTGTGTTCAAGAATCATTATCAGCTCAGTTCTGTGAGGTTAGTGCCTTGTGAAGACACAGCTTGGTGCTACGCTGCTTGACCAGCTGGCCTCCTGACAAGCGCCCTGCAGGATGGCAGCGAGTTGCCAAGCCTTGTACAGGCTGCCAGTGTTTCTTGCCAGTCCTCACATGAGACTGCCCTGTTACCCAGAGAGCGAATTTTACACTGAAAGCTTTTGAGTGCTGAATAAGTCATGTAGCCACCGAGCAGAAGAGACTTTCTGTGGCCCAGCCGCACCTCTTCCCTCAGAGGCAGCTGAGGAGGAGCTAAGTGAGCAACGATCCTTCTGAGATACTCCCTTCTTCTGGAGAGGCTGTCAGACTTAGGTGATAGGATTTCCCATTTCACACACACTTTGTAGACCAGTTCCCTTGAGGGAAGGCCTGAGTTGGGATCGAGTTCCTCTTTCTTACTGTTATCTATCCACTCTGTGACAGTGTCCTGTCAGAAGGGAGACACAGCAGGCACCTTTGGTTCAGAGCTTCAAGGTAGCCATTGGCTAAACTCTTGCCACACCCACTGGGACTCCCATCTAGGTGGTGTCTCAGTTCTGGGAGCCATGACACAAAGCCAAAAACAGGAAGGAAGCCGGAAAGGGACTGACCTACCTCAGGTGTTCTGTCTGACCTAACAGAATTTCTCTCCTTTCCAGCCCACAGCTAAGGATGTCCTTCATTGTCTTCTCCACTCGAGGGACAACCTTAATGAAGCTAACTGAGGACAGGTAAGGAGACTCCGCACGTCATTTCAAAGTCTGTCCTGAGTAGCCCTGAGACTTGCGCCTCCTGGCATCTCAGGCACCGGTCTATCTAAGAACTCTCTCTTACTCGAACCTTGACATTTGCATCCGGGCCTTCTGCTGGCTCGCTCTGCAGTGACTTCCAATGACATTTCCTGACACCGGTGAGGTGTTTTAAATGACTGGGCCATGTTGAGATGAGCCTTGCATTTGAATGTTAACTTTATCTGCTGAGTTGGAGCAAAATGTTGGCCAGTTCGGTTCTTTAGGGATTGTGTTTTCACCCATTTGGATTGGATTTATTTGGTAAGCTAGAGTTTGGAAATGCAGTAAATACTCTACTTGGGAGGCAAGAGCCTGAAACGTGTCCCTGTGTGACTGTCAAGGAGGAAAGTTGTGGTACCAAATAAATAGAAAAATAGAAGGAAAGTTTAATCAAGTAAGGGAAAATGTCAGTTTTGACAAACATTCCCTGGGATTTAACCATGTTCCACGTCACACATGAAGACCATTGGTGACTAACACAGGGCACTTATTGCTAGTTATCATGATGCATGGGAAGGGCCATGGAAAGCCTCCTCACATTCACGCCACTGAATATTTTTTCTCAAAAATGTGACCTGGTCCACCTGAGGGAAGCACTGTAGGAACGTGGGATTCCTGGATGCCTTAAATATAGGTGTACTGGAAAAAGACATGTGGGAAGGGCAAGGGTTGGTCCATCTTTTTGTTGCTCTGACAAAATGCCACAGACTTGGTACTTTATAAAGATAACAGTGGTGTGGGAAAATTATCTGTATTCTGTCAATCATGTATTTTAATAAAACGCTGATTGGCCAGGCAGGAAGTATAGGAGGGTCAACCAGACAGGAAGTAGAGGCGGGGCAATGAGAACAGGAGAAGGCTAGGAAGGAGGAAGCCCATTCCTCCATTCTTGCCCAGACCACAGAGAAGCAAGATGTAACCTGCCCTGCTTGTAAGGTTACTGAGCCACATGGCTAAAATAGATCATAATAATGGGTTAATATAAGCTATAAGAGTTAACAAGAAGCCTGAGCTAATGGGCCAGTCAGTTTATAATCTTATGGAGTCCTATGTGTGATTTTCTTTGGGGCTTGCCAGCTGTGGGGTACTGGGCGGGACAGATACCGTAACAAGCAGGCCCCTTCATGTTACAGAACAGGTTTATTTAGCTCACATTCCTGGAGAGTGAGTATATACCAGCATCTGCACACATCAGATGTGACTCATGACGTCACAGCAGCTGAGACCACATGGCGAGATGGAACCCAGGGAGTCAGTGGCTAGCCCCACTCTCATACACTTGGGAAGAGTCTGGGTTCTACATTACCACAAGTTTCTTCAGCACCCCCACTTTGCCAAAGGATGTGAGCTTCTGGGGGTGACTGCATGGCCTGGTCAAGAATGGGCCCGACACACACCCAGTCTTACCATGTACAGAGGAGACTAGTGGTCACACTCTCGTGCCCTAGGGAGACAGGCTGAAAGGAGTTTTTGATCTAGTTCTAACTTGTCTTACAGTGGTTTGTTGGATTCTGGAATTAAAGCATGATTAATAAAACCTCAGAGAGAAAAATTGGGATTCAACCCGAAGGTCAGAAAAGCAAAGCAACCAGCCACTGGCTCTTATCTCTACCTCAGTCTGAAATGGTGATCCTGCCTCCAGGAATCTCAGAATGAGATTGTGCCTGAGAGCTGTCTCCTCCCATCTTATATTCCTCTCTAGGGCTGGGATTAAAGGTGTGCGCCACTGGGAATAAAGGTGTGTGTTACCCCTGCCTGGTCTGTAAGGCTGACCAGTGGGGCTGTTTTACTCTCTGATCTTCAGGCAAGCTTTATTTAATAAAATACAAATGAAATATCACTACAGGGAATATCTCTGTCTCTTTCTTCTGAGAGTATTCGCTCCTCTCAGCATCCCCCTGAGACTGTTGGGGATGCACTGATATACCCTGTGTGTATTTAGGACGTTTAGAGAGTTTCAAAAGAAACTTTGAAAATAAAAGGCACCAGGCTGGAGAGATGTAAAATGCTTGATTTGCCAATGTGAGGCCCTGAGTTTGGAACTCCAAGTCCA